AAGATAATTATGATAAAAACCATAATATTATCTTTTAACAAAAATATCTTCACTTTTCCATCCGACGGCTGAGAACTATGTTTACTCTACGGTCTCGATTACACGGGCCGATGATGTAAATTTGGGTCCAAACAACCGTGTAAGGCAGAGATTGAAGAAACAACGGAGATGAGTAAGGATAATTAAATGGTTTAATTATTTATGGCAAGGATTAATTAATATGTTAATTAATCAAACGAATAAAGTTCGTTAAAGACCTCGGGTTAGTTTTGGGCCTCAAGGCCCAATGGGCTTCGAACGTCAAACTCATTGACTTAAATTGTATGACAACTTAATGACTAAATATTCACAAATGCCCAAATAGCCCAATAACACCCTATGGCCGGCCATATTGATAAAGGAGTGGGTTTTGGACTTATTACAAGTTTGCCACTCCAATGAAGATAGGTATAAATATGACTTTATAGCCTTTTCTTCATTAGGGTTTCTTTTGGGAGAAAAAGATGAGAACAAAAGCTCTCTTTGCTCTCCAAGAGGCCGGCCACCCTAGAGGAATATAGCTAGCAATCTTACTTCCTCTAGGTCACTCATTTCTTCATCAATCCTTCCTTGGTGTGGAGACTTAGAGGTTCTCAACTTTGAGAACTTGGAGAAACCAATTCTTCCATCCAAATCCATGGAGCTAAGAAGCAAGGAATGAAGGCCCTATCTCTTGGGTGATTATCCTTTGCTTATGCAAAGAGGAATCAACAAAGGTATAAATTTCTCAACTCACTTTATTTTGAGTTGAGTCTTGGTTCACCTAACTACTAGGCTTTGAATTTCATGGGTAATGTTTTGTTTTGAGTGCATACAAGTATGATTCCGCCTTTAATTTGTTAATTGCATGCTATAGATGTTGCTCAAATGAACATGTTTTTCACAAAATTTCCTTCACTTCGGCCAAAGCCCCCCCTAAAAAAAATTCATCGTGGGCAAGTGAAGCTCTTGGCCTTGATCTAAAGTGTTAATTGTTTTGTAGGTGCAATTTTGTCCAAGAAGAAGAAGGCGGAAATTTGCATCCACAGTAAGTATGTAGAAGAAGAAAAAAAAAAAACTATTACCTAGGCCACCTAGAGAGCGCCTAACTCCTTATCGATTTTGCTGGACAATTTGGCCTAAATCGCGGTGACACTTCATCGCCTAGCGCCTAGGTGGCCGCATACAATGGCGGAGCCAACACGGGTCATTAGTTGCCCTTGACTCCAATAACTTAAAAAACTTCATGTAAATTTGTTTGTGTTTTGTATTTGACCCCTATAAACAACTAAGACAAACTAAATCAACCTCCTCCTCCTCCTACTTGTTTGAATCAGCTTCACGCTCAAAGTGGAAATCAAACCAATTACTATATTTTATGCTCACTCTCTAACCCAAGGTGACCATTACTTCCTTCTAAAATTTTGCCACGTGTATTGGGATATTTCTCTTCAATTCTACAAAATGTATTATGAGAGTGTGTGGAACTATTGATTGGGCCTTGCATGCATGTATGTATGTATGTATGTATGTATCACATTTGAATTCCCAACAAAAAAAATGTGGCTTTGTTCCAGCTAGCAGTGGGCACTTAGAACCGAAAACCGAAACCGAAACACAAAACAAATCGAACCGCACCGAACGGTTTGGTTTTGCGGTTTTGAAACGGTTTCAGTTTTGAAACCGAACCGCAACATAGAAAACGGTTTGGTTTCGGTTTTGGCCTTTGAAAACCGTACCGAAACTGAACCACACCGCAAATATAAATAAACATTTAATTAAATGTTCATATTAGATTTCATGTTTTAATTGTTGTTTGTTAGAATCCATACACTTAATACGGACTCAACCACACAAGAATATCATCATTCATCACTTTTTTTCGTTCATTAACTTGAAGAACCTCTGTTATTTTATACCATCACACACACACACACACACACACATATATGTACAAGGGTGGACTAATCTTGTTATCAAGAGTTGAACAATGATCTAATGAAGTCCACTCATTTGAAACATGGTATCACATATTCTAGTATGAAAGTTTCACTCTCGTTAAATGAATTCAAAGTTATTCAACTTGTTTTATGTTATACCTTGTATGGGATACCCTTTTGTTGCACAAACATGTTTTAACATCACAACTGCATTCAACATGCTAATTGTTTACATAACAAATGTCTTTTTCCTATTGCTACTGGAAAATGTTTAATAATATGTTAAATTACAAATTGTAAACTTTTTTCTTAAAAACCAAATCGAAACCGTTTGAAACCGCACCGAACCGAACCAAACGGTTTGGTTTCATTTTGGTTTTGGCTTCAAAACCGCACCGAACCAAACCGCAAAAATTTTCGATTTCGGTTTCGGTTTCACTCAAAACCCCACCAAATCAAACCGTGCCCACCCCTAGTTCCAGCCACTGCGCAAGCCCCATACAGAAGATAGGCCGGTTCGTTTGAAGATAATCTTTTCTATGATCAGACCCGTTCATGTCGTGTATGATATGAACAGGCATTAATTAATAATTGACTGCAATTTTAATTTTATACAATCATCTATCTTATAGTCTACGGCAAGAACTAAATTACATAAAAAAAATTTGATGCCCGCACCAGAGAAGAAAAATAAAAATAAAATAACTACCCATCGACAATGGTAAACACCATCCCTGCCCCTTTTACCTTGTATAAGTTTGTTCATCATAATGTAGCATCTGCGCAAGCTTCAAAATTTAGATTTCTCAATATTCTTCAGGATAATTGCTTGCAGAAAGATTTTTTACTGCTCCCTTTATTCTCCATGTAATTTGTTGCGGATTCGAAACCCGTATCAAGATTGAACTAGCTTGGACTGGATCGAAGTGCGGCGAACCAAGTAAGATCAACCAGCCAAGTGCAGTATTGAGCTTGAAGAGCTTATTACTCATCTCAATGTTGCTTTCAGATTACTCTGTCACATCAGATACCATACACTTCAATTCCCCCCAGAAATGAATCGCTTGCTTGCGCAGCAGATTATGGTCTGTGCATCCGAGTTCAGCTCTTACAACATTTGGGCTCTTCCGATGAGAGTAGATGTTGAATAGCCTCTAAGTAACATTCTCCAGTAGTATCCTGTCCAGAAGATTTCCCCCAGTATCCGAATCACCAACAAACTTAGTAACTAAAAGATCCCAGGAAGCAACGTTTGCGTCTCCGCTTGACATTGCCATTGAAACAACTTTTGTGACTTCCGCTTCCTTTCCCGAGTCACAGAGCCCCTCAATCAACATAACATAAGTAGACTTGTTAGGCAAACAGACCTTATCCAACATCTCCTCCAAAATCTTAATCCCCTCCTCTGCTTTTCCAATTTTACAAAATCCTTTGATCAACATACTATAAGTAAAAGCATTCGGAGTACACCCTTTCTCCACCATGTCATCCCACAACCTCCCCGCCTCACACAACTCCCCCGCTTCACACATTCCCGCAATAAGCATGTTGTACGTCATGACGCTCGGAATGGACTCTGTGTCAAGCTGATCAAACAGTTTCTTAGCTTCCCATACTTTTCCCTTCTCACAAAACCAGTGTATGAGCGTGCTTGAGACTGCATTATCGGGTGTGCAATTCTTCTTCAAAAGCTTCTTCCACAATTCATAACCATCCTCCACCTTCCCTTCACGACACAAAACATCGATCACCTTACAGCAAAGCGTGGAGCTTGGTATATACCCTTTCGCAAGCATGTCATTAAGCAAATTAACAGCTTCGCCCGACTTCTTCTCCTTACAATAAGCTTCAACCATAACCCCATAAGTAACCTCATTTGCCCCGACCTTATTTTCCTCCATCTCGTCCATGACCTTAACGGCATCAACCAACTTCCCTTGCTTAACAAACCCATCCATCAAAACCGTATAAGTAGTCGCATCCGGATACCACCCTCTATCCAAAACCTCCCCAAAAACTCTCTTTGCCCCAACCATATCACCCCGCGAAACATACCCGCCAATAATCGTGGTATAAGTCACCACATTCGGGACAAACCCCATTGCAGGCATTTCGTCGAGCACCTTGAGTGCAGTCTCGACATCGTTCTTCTTGCAGAGCGCTTTGATCAGAATATTACAAGTGGATAAATTGGGCATAACCCCAAATCTCTGCCCACAATTCTTGAACACAGAGTGAACCAAACCGTACTCACTGTTCTTAACAAGAGCGTTCAACAATTCGTTCAGGGCCTTCACAGAGCGCTGAACTCCGAAATTCGGAACGTCGAGAAAGGCTTTGAAGGCGAGTTTGGGGCGACCCAAAACGCCGAAATTGCGAATTAGGGTGATGAAAATGTCTTCGGAGCATTGGATTTGGGAGTTTTTGAGGTCGGAGAGGAGGGGGTCGATCATGCGGTGGAAAGCGCGGGAACGGGAGAGGCGGTTGAGGATGGCGTGATAGGTGTGGTAATTGTGGGAAAATCCGGGATGGAATTTGGAGGCGTGGTGGAAGATTTGGAGGGCGAGGTCGAGGTTGGGTTGGTGGGCGATGAGGGAGATGAGGTGCTTTGGGTAGAGGCGTCGAGGCCAGGGTTGGATTGGAGGGGTCACGGTGTATGAGTGGAGGAAATCGGCGGTGGCGGTGGCGGCGGGGGTGAAGGTGGAGGCGGAGGAGGAGAAGGAGACGGTGGTGATTGAGTGGAGGAGAGGGGAGGGCTTGGCTGAGATCTTCCAACGCAGGATCAGCATGGTTGAAGAGTTGAAAACAGTGCCTTCGGCAAATGCCCTCCACATTTGTACATTACATGACCGTTGCGTCAATTTTACTACCAACTCTAGGAGGGCATTTCGAGGTTGTACTTAGTCAGTTTGGCCCCCACGCTCACGTGATCCGTCTGTAGCATACTAGAATTTTTCCTTTTCTACTTATAAAACCAATTCACAATATGAAAAGTAACTCGGCTACTTATAAGTCTTGCAAGATCCATTCTCCCATGTGAGATTCATTCTCAACAATTTCATCACCCTTGAATTTGAATTGACAAAGAACTTCTGTTTTTGCTTTATTGGAGGAAAAAATTCTCTAACAAAAACCTAAGCATAAAAAATTGTCCGAGACAATAAAATGTGCATCACCTAATCGCTACATTTTAATTAAACAAAAATTTGGTAATCCCAACATTAAGGTAAATCACCACTGCCTAATTTCTACAGGAGGTACTTCACTCTATATATGTTTTCACTTGATCCACATCGCGCTTCATCCACGAACCTTCAAGTTAATTACGTTTGCTTCTGGTACACCCGCCTGTAAATCTTTGCACCTTCAAACTCTGCATGAATTTCTCTCTCGGTCCGAATTCCCATTGGATTGTTTAACAACCATCCCTCGCTGTCACACAGCACACTTGTGTCAATTTCGTGGATGTGTGTCAGGATATTGGAATGAGAATCAAACTGATCTCTCATGTCAAGTGCCACATCAAGTACGTCGGATTGGATAAACACCTGCAGGCGGATTATATTGTTAAAGAAACAATCATATGTTCATAGTTCATTCAACCAAAAGCAAGCCATTGTTTGAAGACGGAAGTCGTTGAAAGAGTTCACATAGTAGGTATGCACTCAATTTGAAGAGAGAATTTGATTCTTCTTTCTGAATAAGTAGAGGTTATACAACTTTATTCAGAAAACTATGTCTCGCGACCTAGAGCACTCAACTCGACGCCCAAAATTATTAGTCATATGAGGTGCTCCTCGTAACTGTTTATATCAACTCAATTTACTCAGCAATGCAGAATAAAAGTCCTTTGAGATTCAATATACACTCGCACAACCCCCATGCAACGTATTTTGACACCACTATCCACGTTAGGGGCTAAACCTATCATGCTGCATTACTCTCATACCCACAAAGTAGTATTGAGTGACTTTTATACCATATATCAAGATCATACCATTGACTCAAAACAACCGGGACAAGTCAATAACTGAAATCCTTGTAATTGATTAAATAACTTCGATCGACTCAGATTATAACCAAGTGAGACTCAATACACACCTTTACAGCTTATGCACAAAAGAAAGTTGGTTAGAAGCCTGTCTTTGATAAGCAGCAAGCTTGTTCTACTCTGTTGTTCTAAACAGCGTGGTCTTCATCCTAAAGGCATCCCTCAATAGCAGCCTAACCCTTGCAACCTGAGCCATATCTTTGCGTCCATACAGATTTATTTAAGATTATGCATCAATCAATACAAAGAAAAGGTTACCCGTTTGGTCGTGATTGATTAGTTAATGAAAAACAAAACCAACCCAAGGTACATGTAGAGTAGCAAGAACTGAAGGATTCTTATGTGGAGTAACCATAATGAACAGTCGCATACTTTCTATACAGAAAAATGCAAAAGCTGCTCATCTGCTTCCCCCATTAACTCAACCTTTCCCTATCCTCGTACCCAGAACGACAATTGAGGCAAATTATTGAAACTGAAAGATAAGACTTCAACCTCTTGATACTATTAAATCTATAACTTGTATATTGAGCAAACCTAAACAAAAATTAGCAACTTTATAACAATCAATCATAGTCGCTTTCAGTCCAAAAGAAAAGTCATTTTCACTTCATTATTTTATAATTAAAGGAGTTATTCAAACCTGGCCACTTGGCATTAAACTGTTCACAATGGAATCTACTAAAGGCTTCTGTACAACCCGTCTCTTATGATGCCTTTTCTTGAAATAAGGATCTGGGCACTGCATATGAACATGAGCAAAGAATCCATTAGAATAGTTGTGTTTCAGCCTTATGACTGACCAGAATAACATGAAGAGAATCCCTCCCTTTTAGTCATAACTATCTTTTTGGATACATAAAGAGAAAATTTGACCTAGAATGTTTCAGCGAGGTGAACTCACCAGGATGGAAACAAGCATCAATGGTCCGGGGTATGAAGACACTAGTTGTTGATAGGAAGTTGTGGCATTTGCAAACATGAAATGTCTGCCATTTAGTTCAATATAGTATATCAATTTCACGCCAATAGTATACAATAGGAACCAACTAATGATCAAGTGTCTTACATATTACTAAGAGCCAGGTCTTGAACCCAGAATTGAGAACGCTTGACCAGCTGCATCAGGGAGGAAACCATTAGTATATGAGAAACAAACCATCTTATTCTCTTGAAAAGGGGAGGAAAAAGGACGAAGTAATTATACATTAAATCAATCAGAAGAACTAACAATTGTATAAAAAATAACCCAAGGAGTTTTCCCATACTTTCTTCCGTATTTCCAGTCCCAGATAATTTCTCACAACTAAATTCCTTTTTGCGAGCCATAAGAGAAATCTGCCGCTACCTGAAAATGTTTACACCTTTAGATTGATATATGATCATTGAAAAAATTTGTTCCATTGGGAGGTATGTCTCCCTTGTTAAGTATATGAGCTCAATACATGAATCAGTAATACTTGGAATTCTCAATTGTAAATGATTTTATAGTATTTTGACATAAGGTGTAGTTATACTTTCTCACTTTATCATGATCTTGATACAACTCTCATAAGTTAAAGAATACAAAGAACAAAATAGTCCTTCTGTACACTTGAAGAGCGTATTCAAAGTAACAATTCAAGATAATCGCAGTGGTATAAGACCAGACACTTTCTTTGCCGCTTTAGCATGATAAATACACTAAAAATGAGTAATGAACCACCTATGAGTTTTTCTACATTGTCTTATTCCATGATGTGGCATGCTACATGGCTTGCCGCATACTTTGTGCTACCATTGACATATACATGATGGGTGCAATAAGTATGATGAATGATAAGAAACCATGTCATAGAGTCATAGCTTATATTTAATGCAAAAGATTGGAGTAGATTTAGCATTGTCCATCAAAAATCCCCTTTTTCTATATATAATTTCTTCTCGGTGAATAAAGTCATGTAGCTCAACAAGTAATTCATAAATGGTGTGTGTATATATATATATATACATATATATATATATATATATATAAGAATCATTTGTAGGGATTCATACACTGAACAGAAATGGAAAATCATGTACCCCAATCCTGAATGGTTTTAATAAGATGTAGAAGTTGAGTTCAAACATGGGAAACACTTGCTGGGTTTATAATTCAAAGGAAATTACTGGTTCTATTAAACAACCACAACATATATGCAAAGCTAAAGCGCTCATGATAAAGAAGAACTTGGACTGTAAACGCACAGATGACATGTGATAGGGAACTGTAAAACAACGGCCAGTACCACTTCCAATATCCACCATGAGTGGCAATGTTGGATCCCTGAAGACTTGATTCCAATCAGGTACTTCCACAGGTGCCTACCCAATCAAACAAAATAAATAAAAAGGATTATTAAAACTCTCTCACTAATTCTCTATAGCTAAAGTATTCTATTGTATGTCGAAAAGAGAAAAAGAAAGAAGAGCCTCCAAATGACATACAGAGAGAGAGGTTTTCAGAGGGTTGACGTGTTGCCTGATTCGGCCATGACCCAGACCCAGTTCCTGCAATTCAGAAATACAACCCCACAAAGTGAGCTACTTTTTTTATTACAAATTTACGAGCGATATTACTACTCTATGCTACACTAAGAAGGAGAAGGATTTGAGCCCAAAACGCAGTCAGCTTTACATCAATCAAAGAAATAATAAACTCCGTATTTTCAGAACACCAGCATGACAATTATATCGAAAGATTGTGTGAATGAATGTAAATTAACAAAAAAAAAAGGACCTCAGAGATTGTGGGGTTGAGATTAAGGTCGGCATATTCCAAGGCCACTAGGTTGGGGCTCTGCTGCTGGTGTTGCTGTTGCTGTTGCTGCTGCTGTGCACCAGCAGAAGCAGAGGCGGTCAATCTTCTGCTGATGGGGTGAAATTGGTGAGAAGGTAATAGTGGTGAATTTGGAGAAATAAGCCGTTTCAGTTTCAGAGCTCTTCTGGGTAATGCAGCACTGAGTGTACCACCGCCTACGCAAGAACCCAGCATTTTGCTGCTCTGCATATCCTAATGCTTTCGTGTTTTGGGTTTTGGGTTTTGGGTTTTGGGTGCCCCTCCCCTTCTCTCCAGTCTCCACTCTCTCGGTGAAATTAATTGAAATTGAAATGGAGAGGATAAGTTGAGACCGTGAGATCATAATCCAACGGCTACATAATAAAGAGATTAAAAAGCATCAAATGTCTCTCTATATGTGACGCAAAATAATAAGAATTTTGCGAAATTTAATGGAAGGTAGTGGATTTGATTGATTTTAAACAATTTTACTTTTGAAAAAAAAAATAATTGGCAAATGTCTCTGTATATTTTTTTTGAAATAAGAAAATATATTAAAGGGAAAAACCTCGAGAACAACCGTTCCTAACAGAATCAAACTTAAGAGCAGGAAAAGCAAATAAAGGAATACAATGATCCCAAATATGACAATCCGTAATAAGAAGGTCATGGCGAGCGAATGCATCTGCCACAAAGTTAGCCTCTCTATTAATATGGTTTCAGTCAATGCAATCAAAATTGGTCGCCGTCCACTTGATATCTTCAATAATAGGAACCAAATTTCATGGCATTGCTCCCCGGTCCAACACTGACTAAATGACCAACTTAGAGTCACCTTCAATGATAATCTTTGTATAGCCCTTTCCTCTGAGCAAAAAGAAGGCCCTCCCTGAAAGCCCTAGTCTCCACTTCAAAAATAGTGGCACCATCCAGATTTAAAGCTCCTACTCTAATAATCTACTCATTATGATTCCTTAAGACAAATCCCGCCGCCGCCACCATGTCCTCAGCCACTGAACCGTCAAAATTTAACTTAACAAAACTCTTATACAGCAGATGCCATTTAACAATTGTGGAAGTATCATCAGTATTTCTTCTCAAACCTTTACCATTGGCTTTAAGATATTGCTCACCCATAGATATAGCCAATAACTTAGATCTTGTCGGGATGGGCAAAACATTTATGAACACCATATTATTATGGTCATTCCAAATTTGCCAACAAATGAGTTAACACAAGCTTAAATCACTAGGAACTTCCTTATCAACATGCTTTAAAGAATTTAGCCAGTCTACTAGCATTAGTGAAATTGCCTGGTTTAATTGAGCAAATGTCCCATATCAATTTAGTGACACCACAATTAAAAAATAAATGCATTTGGTCCTTGTCTACGGAATTGCAAAAAGGACACATCTTATCACTATTAATTAGAATATGACTTAATCTTTTTCTAGTTTAAAGTTTATCATGTATGAACAACCACGCAAACATCTTAACTTTAGGAGGAATATTAAGTTTCACATCTTATTAATTAACTTATGCTTTGTAGATTGAGTCAACGTCCCTTTCTGGATCCAAATAGTTGATTTAACAGAGAACTTACCATTTATATTTGGACCCCAAACTAGCACATCTTTGGAATCCTACAAGGCAATTGTAATATTACAAATTTTCCTCACAATTTGATTACTAACCACTTGTGAAAGCTTTCTCCTATCCCAACAATAATTATCAATAAATTCATTAACTTTCAAGTCCCATTAATGTTTTGCTTGTCAATATTGGGTAAGAGATGGAATAACGGGTAAGAAAAAACCCAATTGTGGGACCAGAACAAAATGTCCTTACCATTACCCATTCTCCATCTCATACCCTTAAGAATAACATCCCTACTTTTCAAGACACCTATCCAAGCAAAAGAATGGTCTTGTCTAATTTTATTATCAAGAAATTTTTCCTTTCTAAGATACTTACTTTTTACTAACTTCACCCACCAATTATCCTTCTCAATCATTACCTTCCAACCCAACTTAGCGAGACAATCATTATTAAAATAATCAAGTCTTTTAACTCCCAAACCTCCCATTTTCTTAAGAGTACAGACCGAATCCCAAGCCACTAGAAAGATTTTCTTGTCCCTACCCCATAAAACATCCCTACACTCTTTATTAAGCTTATTGATAATCTTGTCAAGACACTTAAAGCAAGACAAAACATGATTAGGCATACCCGTTAGATTCGAGTTAATTAAAGTAAGCCTCCCCGCTCTCGAAAAAGTGTTTTCTTTCCAACCAACTAATTTTTGCTTAACCCTCTTAAGTAACTCATTACCATTAACTTGGTCCTTCCAGAAAACAATATTATGAATTCCTAGATACTTACCGATAGTAGTTTTATGTTGAATATGTAAAAAATTAACAATATCAATTCTAGTTGGAGAAGTGGTATTCTTGGAAAAATACACAGACAACTTATGAAAGTTTATTTGTTGGCCTGCCGCTTTAGAAAACATATTAAGGATTTGAAGAATATTCCTCGCACCCCTTGCTGTGGCCTTAGCAAACAGGAGACCGTCATCAGCAAACACTAGATTTGATATTTTAAATCCTCTAGGTGAGGACAAAATACCAATATAAGACTTCGGATTATTTGTTAGGGTATTGAGGTGTCTAATTAATGGTTCCATACAAATGATGAAAATATAAGGGGACAAGGGGTCCCCTTGTCTAATTCTATGCTTCGGATTAAAATAATTGTTGATGCACAAAATCAGCGAGGACTTTAGTGCAACAGAAAGTGTTAAGTTTGTGACATTCGCTAGATTGCTTCGGTCACTAGTGTGAATAAGTATGTAAATGGATAGCGACAGGGAAGCAAACACAAGATGTGTGTGGTTCACCCAGATTGGCTACGTCCACGGAGTAGAGGAATTCTCATTAATTGTGAAGGGTTTACACAAGTACATAAGTTCAAGCTCTCCTTTAGTGAGTACAAGTGAATGATTGAGTACAAATGACATTAGGAAATATTGTGAGAGAATGATCTCTATTTATAGAAGAGAGTTTCTAGTTTCATTCTAACATTGACACGTGTCGTGTTGTGATTGGCTTCTGATGTTAACACGTGTCGCGCTATGATTGGCTTCTGATGTCGACACGTGTCGCGCTGTGATTGGCCTCCTGGTTGGAGGGAAACTCTTCTAGGTCTTTGACGGTATAACGTTGACTGGTGCTCAGTAGTTTCGGGATTGGTCAAGTATGGTACAAACAGTGCTCCCCTAAGTTCCCGAGTAAGGGAAGCTTCTCGGTTGGGGACTTGCAAGATCCAAGCCATTGAGTAATCACGAAACTTCTAAGTTGATGCGAGAATTACTTGACACACAAATTAAACCCTCTTTTGACAATTGTAGCAAAGTATGTAAGTAGGGATCGTTCTAAATCGGGGATTAGGAGGGCTTGCTAAAACCTCTAAACTGACTCAAACAAAAAGAAACAAAGTTAAAAATGTAAACAAAAGATTTTAAAACAAGAAAGTAAAAGGGGGATTTGAGTTTGGTGAAGTTGAAAGTAAAAACGAATAAACTAAAAACTTAAATAGATTTTAAACAAATTTGGGTTGAATGGATAATGGAAGGCTAGCTAAGGGGTTCTTCTCCACACATGTCTTGCTTGCATACAAAATGATTTCCAATTGCTCTTCGATAAGTTATGAATACTCAACGCCCCAAATTACCGTGAATTGCACTAATTAACTCTCAGTTTTTCAACAAGTTATTAGATTGGATGATTGCATACGACAACCCAAAACATTCCCTACAAGTTCCCTACATGAATTGCATAATAGAGATACAAGCAAGAATCATTAAGTTCTATGAAAAACATAAGCATTGACGAGGCACTCGTTACTATGATTTGCATGAAACTTATGCCAAGAATTTACTTAACGTGATTGTGACTAGCAACCTTCACTACTTGTGAATATAAGTTCATAACGATTAGGTGAAACTCCCTTATATTCTAGCGTTAAATTCATGCATGAAAATTAAGCGTGCACTCTCAACCAACATACACAAATTAGTTTTTATACGAACGGATAAGTAAATTGAATTCACAATTCAAGAAACGCAATTGGAAGTAATCAAATCATATAGCAAGCATAAACATGGTTTTGAATCCCCCCCTAGCCAAGGGGGGTTTAGTTCCTCATTATTACAAAACAAAGATAAACAAATTTAACCATTGAAAAACAAAGGGAAGAAAGCACCTAAACGTTCCAACGATCCATGTTGGATAGCAAGCGCGTCCAAGGACTTTTCTCCTTCTCCTTGCCGCCACAACAAGGTTGGAATGATGTTGAAGGGTTGGTTATTTGGAGGAATGGATGGGAAGGGGTTTAGATATGTAGGAGAGGCAAGGAAAGGCTTGGAGAATGGTTAATTTCTGGATGATTTGAATGAGGTTGCTGCCATGGTATTTATAGGAAGAGGATGGACATGTTTAATGCAAAAATCTGGTGGAATGAAGTAGGTAAGGCATGGCAAGGTGGAGAATTGTTGGTGAGGGTAGGTTTTGAGTCATCCACTCACATGTCATGGTGAGTTAAGCATTGCATCATCCACTCAAATGTCATGGTGAGTTAAGCATTACATCATCCACTCAAATGTCATAGTGAGATAGGCATTGCATCATCACTAAAAAATCTGGTGGAAGTAAAACAAAGGGAAGGCCACGGCATTGATGAATTTTATGGGGTATGCATGGTTTTGAGTGAAGTTTTGGCCAATCCTTCTAGAAATTTATCCCTTCTTGCAACTTGTATTTGTTTCACCAGATTTTTAGCATGTTCTTAGCCTCTTTTGTCTTCAAATTCGTCCATCCATCTTGCTCATATCATATGTAATCCATTCCAAGCTCAAAACTGCTCCAAAATGCACCAAAATGCACTTTCTTGCTACCTTAGCCCTTTGGACCTACAAACACACGAAAATGGCTTAAAGTACTAAAATAACTAAGAACTAATAACGTAAATGCAAGAAAACTAGTTAACTAAGTCGCATAAATATGCGTCTATCATAAGTACCGAAGTGTAGTATCATTTTCACTTGCCTTATCTGTCTCATATGTAGATGTGGCATCTTCTCTGGAAGTACTTTTCCTCCACCCAAGGGTGAAATCTTTAACCGATGAAGATGCACAAGGTAATGTATCAATTTCACTTGAAGCTTACTTGTAGTTTCAGGTTTGGTCAAGTGCGATACAAACCCTATAGTAGGAGTCCCCCAAGTCGCCGAGCTAGGAG